AAAGTCGCTCTGCATACCCTTCGAGGGCCAGTTGCCGGGCCTGAAGACCGGTCCGGTGACCGATGGATCACCCTGTCTGCGCCATCCTCACTGCTCAGCGCCCGCACGGTCCTACGTGCTCTTTGGCCGGAGTTATTAGGCCCCTGCGCACACCTATTCTTCCTTTTTCGCTCACCATCATGAGCATGTCTTCTGCTCCCTTTTTCCCCACCCCTCCGCCCCACTCATTGGAAATAAATTGTGTTCTGCTACTGGCGCTATTTCCGTTGTGGTCTCCGGATCCGGAAAGGGGTAACCCACCGCCTACTTTCGTTGAGGCATTACTGTCTAGTTGAAGTGGTCGTAATCGATTCCAAGGCCAAGCACACTTGCCCAGTCTGCGTTTCTGGTCGATTTATGGGGCAGGGAAAAACATTTGCTACGTTAGTCACGACAAATCTCAGCCCTTCTCCTGAAGACTCGATCGTGAAGATTATCGGCTTCTCGATCGAATCCCTCGTCACCAGACACAGTCGCAGAAACGGGGTGATGAGGATGCCAAGGGAGCAGTATTCACTGGACGCAGTTGTCATCCCACGACTTGCTTAATCTAATTACCAGGTCCCGCTAAGGGTCATGCATAATGTAGTGCTTGCTCGTGCGAGTCGCTAACCGTCGAAATGTCATCGCCGTTGTTGCGGCGTAAGTAGAACTAATGGCCGCTCGCGTCTTCTCCGTACTTCTAATTACTTTGTCTAAACGCAGGGGATGGGGCTGGGAGGTCGTTGCGCCTATTAATTGACTGCATGCCGCACGCAGTTGTCGGGGCTCTTGCGACTGTTTTGACCTCATCAAACATTGGCCGGGTCCCATCGCATAAGTCGCAACCTGCGAGCTAGTCTCCTTGCTGTCGCGTGTTCGCCTATCCTCGTGAGGAGTCGCCTTCCAGTTTCTTCGACGTAGTTGCTTTGATAGCAACTGCATCAGATCTGCTAAGCGACTGCACACGTTTGCTGCCGTGGCAACAAACCTTTTGGCCTCATGACTTGGCGCTGGCGGATAGTTGCTTTTGGTTATTGTACAACCCCGAGTGGTGTGTGTGAAGACGGCTAACCCCTTCCAAGACGTTCCCTGCGAAGGGGCGCAGTCACCAAAATTTTGGGTTGGTGCTGTTCGGTCTCTCGTCTTGGTAATTTTCGAGGAAGTTGCGCGTATGGCTGTCTGCAGTGAGTACCCGGCGAACTTGCACTTCGGGAGCCTCCTGCTCTAGTTTGCCGCAGTGGGTCAAAACACACTGATATGGCGCCTCTACGCAACTGCGTCGTTTGTGGTTGATGGGTTGGTTGCTGCTGACGTTCATTAGTTGTGTCACACCTGTCGTTCCCCCGGCTACTTTAGGCCATCAAAGCGAGAATCTGAAAAGTCCTGCCGACATAATTCATGCCCCAGCGATCGCATCTTCTCTTGAACAGCTCCGTGGAACCCATCTGTGTGCTTCTATCTCCATCCTTCTGACCACAATCGTCGTAACTAGGCGTCATTCGGTTCATTTGTTGAAGGTAGCAGGCAGTGCTTTCGTAAACCCTGTTGTTCACATGCCAATGCGTCATATGCCTTTGTACACACGCTTAAAAATATCACTTTTAACATAGTATTCACAAACTGTGAGTAATATTATTTTTACAAATAACTCTTGTCTTGAATTTGCGTGTTATTAGTTCCAGTTCAGACTGTCAAAGGAACAACAAAGGATACATAATTATGTAAGCATTTCTTAAGTAGCTGTAGGGTCGTGGCCTCAACGACTGATTCAGGGGGTTTATACTATTGTTCTTTTGCTCGTTTCGTAACGAATTCGGAGCGGAGATTGAACTTAGTTAGGTTTGTGTGCAGCCTCATTGTTTGTCCACGGAGATTAGATGATGAAGCAGGTCCTCCTAGCACAATCCATGCTCCCGTCCGGGTATTACCTTTTAAACTAAGATAAAGCCACCTTTACTTTGTGCATTAAAAAGGGAAGCAGCACAAACGGGTAGTCTGGATGAAACAGCCGGTTGTTTGTCATGAGGGGAATGTAACAGGCCGAGGGGAGCTAGTCAGAACAAAGAAGGTATGAGCACGCGTCCGGTCGCTTGTCGCATGCTTGTAACATGCTGTTCCGACATTAGGGGCGGCAAAGTCTGAAAACCTCTACCCTAAATTGGACAACCTCGGACGGTAAAGGTAAAGATGATGAGTTAAAAATTTGAAGCAGGCAAAGATCACATGATTAGTATAATTAATTGACGTCATACAATTTCGCAACCTCTTATTCAACCGAAGTGGTTCATTGCCTATCAATAAGATAAATTAACTGTCCAATTAAGTATCGACTTGAAACTTGATAGTTAACTAGAG